GAGAGAGAGAGAGAGAGAGAGAGAGAGAGAGAGCCCTGAATAGCCTATAAGACCAGCAATTTTCTAGGTTGCTTGGACGAAGTTTTCTGCCATTTTCTGAGAGCGTGAGAGTTGATCAGATACTGTCATAAAGGAAGAAAACTGAAGTTTTTTGGGAATTTTCTTCAGTTCCTTAAGATCTTTATTACAGACATTTATTTCTGCTGAAGCTTGTCCTTTTCTTGTAGGGAGGGGGGGATCAGGGCTCTCAGGGTCTACTGCTGGGTCAGGTCTTATTAGCTCTTAGTTCCTATGTCCACAGGTAGGTTATGTAGCCTTAGGCTAATTGGTTTTATTACTTTACAAAAATTCCATTGCCATAGGTGACCTTCCCTATCTACCTGCCTTACTGGATAAAGAAGCTAAAGTACATCTACACAGTGGGACACTACTTGGCAGTAAGGAAAGATGATGTCATGCAATTTTCTGATATATGGATGGTTCTAGAAAGTACCAGGCTGAATGAAATAAGTCAAGAAAGACAGACACAGAATAATCTCACCCATATGTGGGATATAAAGACATTTACTAGAGGAACAACTAATACCTGAAAGTGATAGAAGCAATGAACAGAAGTAGTGCTTAGCAGGAAGCTTGCCACCTGGAGTGAGGTGGGATGAAATAGGTCAGGGAAAGGATCACAACCACAATATAGAGGAAAATGGTCGCTCTGGATCAGGACTGAATGCTGAAAGGAGGTTCCGTGGTATGCATCATACGATATTAGTAATTGCCTGCAAGGCAGTGGGGGCAGGGAATGAAAAAGAAAATAGTGCCTGTCACAGACGGAAGCTGGGAGATGGGAGGAAAACTGGAAACATTGATGGAGGAAAGTGAATTCTAGTAAAAGGATTGATGTTGGAACACTGTAAACCTGACACTCAATCAAGAATGACTTTTTATCTTTGTAATACACTGTGATTCAATTTTTTAAAAATTTTAAATTAAAATAATATTTTTAAGACAAATGCTGTTGTTTGGATAAAAGGAGGGGTTGGAAACACAGTGAAATCCAGTTTTGTTATTTAGCACTGTAGCACTGTCCTCCCATTGTTTATCGATTTGCTTGAGTGGGCCCCGTAACATCTCCATCATGAGGCTTGTTATTACTGTGTTTGGTGCAATCGTTAGCGCTCAGTACTTATAGGGCAGTACGCTTTGTTCTTTATAAGAGATAAATGTAAAGACACGTATAAAGATACAAAGACTGAAAATGTTTTTAAAAAGTTAAAAACACTGGTCTGGAGTGATAGTACAGCAAACAGTGTACTTGCCTTGCATGCAGCTCACCTGGGTTCAAACCCTAGCACCCCAACATTGTCCCTTAAGCCAAGCTAGGAGTGATCCCTGTGTGAAGAGACAGAAGCAAGCCCTGCACAGCATCAGGTATGGCCCCCCAAATTAAAAAACAAAACAAATTATAAACTGAAAAGGCTAATATTTGTCAAATGCAACAGATTAATCAGATTTATTGGTTTCAATAGATATATTACTTAAAATATTTATGTGCTATATTTAAATAATAGAAAAAATTTTACAAATATAAACCACCAATCTGCACAATTTTAAGTAGAAAATATTCATAGAAATATAAAAAGGTGACAAAGTACATCACTGAGGGAGATAATTACAAAAGCAATGGGCAAGCCTGGGGCGTAGCCATGTGCAGAACCGGTTCCTCACAGACTATGACCAAGAGTGACCTGGGTCAGAAGTGAAGACTGCACTTGAAAGAGGAGATGATGGTTTTAAAATGAAACATTTCCTCTGGGACATATTTCAGGAAAAGAAAGACTCTGGAGATAAAAGATAAATGACACATTTCTTTCTATCTGATAAATTTTACTATTTTCATGTAATATTTAAACAAAGAGCTCAGCAGAATAGAAATTACATACCCAGTTCAAGATTTATGATATTCTTATGCGAGAGCATATAATTTGAAACTGAAAAGAGAGACAGTGCTTAGCTGGAAAGGTAGCAGGAACAAAACGCAAAGGGTATATCAGATGTGGGTCCTCAGATATGGTCACTAGAGATCGGTTCTGCTATTCTGCAGGTGTATCTGGAACTAAATGCTCAGATCTTTGCTGGTGCCTATTCTATTCATCATCAGATGTTTGCATCATCATTTCCCACTCCCTGTTCTTTCTCCCTCCAATGCCTTTTCTCTTTTTTCCCATTAACTTTTCTCTCTCATTTCTCTCTACTCTTCACTCCTTTTCTCCCCTCTCTCCTCCACCCTCCATCCTTTCTCTTTCCCCCATTCTTTCTTTCCCCCTTTCCTTCTCTATGTTCATTCTAGTAATACTCTCTCCATCCCTTTGTTTCATCCCTCCCCTTGCCTCTCTCTTCCTCCTTTCCCTTCACCCATCTTCTGTCTCTACTTTTTTTTCTCCTCCTTCCTTCAGTACAGTTGAATGTTTTTGGTTAAATTTCAACCATTAGAGTAGATTAACATTCACACCAACAGTGAAAAATCTTAGTAAATACTCAGCTAACAGAGCTCTGCAGCACCTTATAGGAAACTCAGTTGAGGTTCCTGGCGACTCTGGTAGGGGTGTGTTTGCAGACTGAATATATTCTTCCTGCCCTGAATCTTCAGAGTGTTGCCTGCCTCTTAAGACATCCAAACTTTTATCTTCTTATTCAATTATTTCACCAATTATTTATCCACCATCCAAAAATGATTAAAAGGTAAAATAAAAATATGTAAGATTTATTCCTTTGAAAGCAAACATAATGTTAAAATATATTTTAGCGAGAGGTTAAACTAAGTTTTTTTTTTTTGGTTTTTGGGTTTATAATCTCTGTTACCTATTTCTCTTCTCAGTGAACATGATTGACTTGACTAAGAACTTGAAATGCTCATTCAACTAATAAAGAAGAAGAACCATTTAAATTTGGTATTTTCAGGGTGAGAGGAGCAGGAGATAATACAGCAGTGAGGACACACACCTAGGACATCCCTACCTGGGTTTGGTTTCCAACCCCAGTGACCTCTAGAGTGCTGCTGAATGCAGCCTCAGAGGCCCAGCACATCACTGGGTGCCCCAGGAAATCTCCAGCACTGTAAAGCCAATCTGCTAGGAGCCCAGCCGATAGAGTGTCACTGTGATGGGTCCTTGTCCCCACCAGAGTAGTACTTGGGAGAGACCTCCAAAACATAAAGAAATTAAATATTTGTTTAAGGATTTTCCTCTAAGTTAGGAAACATCGATATGTTCTGCCATGTTTTTAGTATGAAACAGAAAGATGTTAAAAGTGTGCTTATATGTCTTTGTTTATATACCTATATATATATTTTTGGAAGGGCGGCCATGTTTGTACATGTTGAAGTATAATTAGAAATTAAACCTTAGAAATTTAGAAAATGTATTCTGTTAGTGATTTGACTGCTACCGGGATCAGTTTTATTTACTGTCACTGTCACTGTCACTGTCCTCCCGTTGTTCATCGATTTGCTCAAGTGGGGCCAGTAACGGCTCCATTTTGAGACTTGTGTTTGCCTTGAGGGCAAGATAGCTTACCGGGCTCTCCAAGAGAGGTGGAGGAATCTAATCTCGGTCGGGCAAGCTGTGCACAAGGCAAATGCCCTACCGCTGTGCCATTGCTCCAGTTTTATTTAAGTTCTAGTAATAAATGTTTATGGCAAGTGTCCTGTCCAATTGCACTAGAGAGCAGATTAGTTTCTCTAAGCCTGTTCCTATAAAGCACACAGCCTGAAAAGCACGTAGGTTCAGAATTAACAACCATCTGCTTTACAACTTCCAATCACAGTGAGATTTGTGGAATCAAACAATAAAAAATCTGGCACACCTAGCCAATTAGTTAAACAAACTAGAAAAGCTTTGCTGACAAAGTGGTATTAAAGACTCCAATGATAATTCCAGAATGGTGTTTTCACATCCCACAGATTGGGCATGGGTAATCCTGTACCAGGTGTCATCCCTGAATCTGAAGTGAGGCAGGGAATTAAAAAGTGAGTATAGGCATGATGACCAGGCTCTGGAACAGAGGACAAGTCTGGCAGTGTATAGCTAAATCACATCTCAGCAACTAAATACTGAATACGTGGTAGCCTGAAAACCCAGTGGTCCAACACCCAAAAGGAGTGAGAGAACAAAAGGGAATGCCCTGCCACAGAGGCAGGGTGCGGGGCGGGGATATTATCCATGGTGGTGGAAAATGGGCACTGGTGGAGGGATAGGTATTTGATCATTGTATGACCAAAACCCAAGCACAAAGATTTGTAAATCTAAAACTGCAAAAAAAAAAAAAAAAAAACTCATACTGGTGGACATCTCTTGCAAGCCACAGGACCCAAAAGGAGAGAGAAAGAACAAAAGGGAATGCCCTGCCACAGAGGCAGGGTGGGATGGGGGGACGGTGGGAGGGATGCTGGGACCCGTAGTGGTGGAGGATGGGCACTGGTGGAGGGATGGGTACTTGATTATTGTATAATTGAAACCCAAGCACAAAAATTTGTAAGTCTATAACTGTACCTCATGGTGTTTCAATAATAAAAAGAAAAAATAAAAAAAAAAAACAAAAGAAAACCCAGTGGTCATGTTTCCAAGCATAAGTGCCCAGGGAAGGTGTATACAGGAGGTGTTCAGCTTTCCCTGGGTATTCTGCGGCAGTATTACCTTTAGCAGGTGAAGGTGTGAAATTGAGCCTTTCAAGTTACCCTCATAATCTGGAAGGCAAATTCTGTCAAATATTTTTGTTGTTATAAAATGCATTAAAAAATGAGTTGAGCATCAGAGATATAATACTGAGGTTAAGGTGCTTGCCATTGCATGCAGTCAATCCTGGTTGAATTCTTACACTGCATGTGATCCCACAAGCACTGATGAGAGTGACTCCTGAGCACACAGCCGGGAGTAAGCCCTGAGCACTGCAAAGTATAGAGCAATTGTGAAAAAATAAATATGAGTTGACAACAAATGTATTTCAGAGTTTATTAGGTTAGATGTGTAACCCAAAGAGGGAAGGGTGACAAATGTACTACAACTTGAGGCAACCCCAGTGGGTTTCTGAGTCTGGCCTCCCACATCCAGTCCTGAAGACACTGATTCCTAAACAAAAATATGCCCAACAATAAAATAACATGATTCCAGGATTAGTGGAAAAAAATTGTTATATATAATATTAAATATTTCCATTCTCATTTAATGGTAATAGAGTGATTACTGACATTTACAATCAAATTGAATAACACAGAAAAAGACCTTGCATATGATTTAATTCAAACATCACCCAACTATGCAAAAGAACTGTAGGCCTCAGAACCAGCAGGTAAAATCTACTAAAAGGAAACTTGGCACCTTGCAGATAAGAGGAACAATAAGAGAAAGGAATTTCAGATCTTCTCCCTAAAATAAATGGGCATTATCTTCAAGAACAGACCAAACATTGTTCATTTTTTTAAGCACTTCATTGGGAATTACTTCGAGGAATCTGAACTGGACAAGGTAGTTAGTTATCATATACACAGAGAATTTTACTGTCTTCTTTCTTTAGCCAACTCCACAAATCACATAGATTTTAACAGCAGGTTTTGAAGCTAAAATGGAGACAAATATTTTCAGGGATTATATCTCAGATTCCCATGCTAAAGCTATTGTTTAAGGTGATGGAAATATGCAGGGGACATTACAACATTTTACAGCTGCTAGAAAGCAATGTTTTCCTGTTTTCCTGATCTAGACAATGGAGAAGCTAAGAAGAAAAAAATAATAGGAAAAGGCTTTCCTATATTTTCTTTTTAAAAATGTTGTTTTGAATTTAGTAAAAAAAAAAACCTCTAATCTTATTTCTGTTTCTAGTTTTCACAGAAATATGTATGAAGAATAGTTTTAGGACAAAGGCTTATAATTATCAGCTCCATATTCATATACAGTTGTTTAGTGATAAAAATCTAGGTCCAATTAAAAATATGTTCAAAGCAAGCTTTAATGATAAAACTCAAAAGAACATAGCACCATTCATATATGTTTTTAAGAGAAACATTTTCAGGCAGGACAGATAACTCAAGGGAGTGGAACAAAGGCTCAAGGACCCAAATTCCATCTCTGTGGACTTTCAGACACCTCTGGATGTAGCCCTGGTGACTTCTAGCACCTTGGCATAATATTATGACTGGAACAAGCACCAAACTATCAGATCTGCAGTGCTAGGCCAGTATTGCCAGAATAGCCCTGAATCCCCCGAGCACTGCAGGGGAAGGTCCTTAGGAGAGGAGTAGGTGGTGAGGGAGGAGGAAGAGAAGGAGGAAAGACAAGAGGAGGAAAAGGAAGAAGAGGAGAAGGAAGGGAAGGTGGAAGAAGCAAAAGAAGTGGAAAAAGAGGAGGACGAGGAGGAGGAGGAGAAGGAGGAGGAGGAGGAGATGAAGAAGGGGGAGGAGAAAGAGAAAAAAGAAGAGGAAGAGGAAGAGGAAGTAAAGGAGGAGGAGGAGGAGGAGGAGGAGGAGGAGGATTAAAATATCCACACATATTTAACATTTTTTTTTTCACTTTTTCAGCCTAATCATAGATGTAGGAATGAGACTTTAAAGCATTATAAGTCTGGCATCAATGAGTACTTAGCATAAAAGTTAGCCTTGCAATGCTCATAGGGACTTCAGCCAGCTCTCAAATCAGAACTGAGTTGATTCACCTACTTAAATCTCTGGAGAAAATTCAGATGAGCACATAGTGTCAGGAGCTTGTCAAGGATCATCACAGATCATCACAAAGTAACATCAGTAATGGCCAAAGTAGCTTTTGCCTCAAGGCTACTTAATTGAGCTGATGTGTTTACAAAGAACTCACATCAGATTTACCACACCTGAGCATTTGCAGGTAATTGATCATGCTTGATTTTCCTTACCCCTCCAATTCCCTGGGGGGTGGGAGAAGTTGTAGGTGAGTCCTCCTACACCCTGCCTCTCCAAACAATAAGCAAGAAGAAATAGCACCGACCATTCAGGAGTAGGCACAGTAATTACAAAGTTATGGGAATGATACCCCTTTCAATTATCATCTTGAAATGTAGAAGGGGGTTATTTCTCCCCAAATATAGTCTTTCCTAGAGTTCCCAGAAATACTGACACTGTGGGAAATGCAAGGTCTCTATTGTCTTTGAGTCTGTTGCCCATGGAGCCTTATCTGTCCCCATTACTTGGCTGTTCTGACGCTGGTTGGATCAGCACACATCAGGGCCTCTCAGTCCCTGCCTGATCCAGGGGCACTGTTGGAGGAGCACTGCTCCCTCTAGGTTCTGTCCTGCCTGGCTCTACCAGGGCCCTCAACACTTGAGGCCTTTCTAGATAAATGGATGGTGTGTTCTTAGCCAGCGTTTGTACCAACAGCTGTGTCTCCCACCCCTGCATCCCAGAACAAGAATTTACCGACTTCAGGCACAAATTACAGTGGTATTTCGAGGAAAAATAATCCTGAATTTGAAGCTAATAATTCTCTCCAGATTCATTGCCCATTATTGGCCTGTTCTGGGATTTTGACACTGGTCAGCAGAGGCAATGCAAGTAGGCAGGGATTGATCCACCCCAGAGAATTATCAGCCATGTATCCCCTGGGATTCCACAACAGGGATTTATGGTCTCCCAGTCTCAAAGACAGGCTATACATTTTGTGCACAGAAGCCAAAAAATGATCCTGTGCTATGTGGAAAACATGAATATTAAAATGAGATGGGTCATTGGTAACCTAAGCCAATTCAAGGACTCACAGGGCCATGGACAGACTTTCTGATGAAAACCTATGATATGAACGTCTCCTTCACCAAGAACAGTCAGCGAAAATACTTCAAAGACATTGAAGTAAAGCTACTGATTTTGAGTTTATTTCATATACCTGCAGATCCTGGCCAAGTCTTTGGTTGTATGGTTGACTTCCATTTAATAGTACGCCTAGGGTCTGTGGCTGAACAGCCTCTGCCTCAAGTGAGAATGAAAGCTGAAGAATATAGATAATTTTTAAAAGAAATTGCAAATCACTCCACTGAGTTAGTCCCTCAAAACCTTTATCTTGTCCTTCATCTCCTACCCTGCTTTCACTTTTCAAGTTTCTTGAAAAAAAAATCTAAGAATTACAATTACATTTCAAATTTGGCAAAAGGATATTTATTTATTTATTAAGGTCATACACCTGGCTGCTATTCCAGTCCCAGGATGTTGAGCTCTTGAACAAAGATGTTTCTGATGCAAAAGCAGAAACAATGAGATTCCCTGAATCTGAGGAGCAAAAATTGGAATCCCAGATCAGACAGGAAGCTCTTCCCTGTCTCTCCTCCTGCTTGGTACCTGCAGGATGCACCCAGCCTCCCTGTTCCAACAGCATCTCCGAACAGTCTAAACCACCAGGCATCGCTGGCTGTTCTGCTGTGACCTGGGCAGAACCAATCAGTGAATGTGCTCAACACAACAAGGATAGAGGTTTGTAATTAGACTCTAAAGGTTGAGGATCTAAATTAAATTTGTTTCCGACAGTTTGTGCTGTTTCAAGGGATCTAACTTATGAGATCTTGTCTCTCCTCCTCAACACCCCGAGAGAGAGAGAGAGAGAGAGAGAGAGAGAGAGAGAGAGAGAGAGAGAGGGAGAGAGAGAGATGGAACAAAACATTGCTAGACAGCAACTGAGAGGCATCCTGCAAAATGAGATTGTGTTCTGCAGCCACAAATCAGGATTGATCTGTCAGCATTCAGTGTTGACTCTGACTTCACTATTGCTTCTTTAGGATACATCTCAGATCTCAGCATATACTCTCCCTCATACTTTGTTCAGAAACCGTCAGAATGAGACACTTTCTCATACTTTCTTCCTTTGTAGCTCAAGTCCCACTATCAGAACTGCAGAGAGGGAGGTGGACAGTCTGAGCTCCTGTCCTGATGTTGCACTGGCTTGAACACAAGTTGTTTTAGACTCCTTTCCTTCCACAATGTGTGATCATCCCACCAATAGCTAAATGTGTATAAACATTAGCTCATTTAAATGAATGGATCCAAATACTTGTAAAACCACCTCTGCCTCTCTCTAGCTCCTTTAGATGGCATGTTTTCAAAAAAAAAACCCTTTCAACTCATTTCATACTACTTGTTTCCACTTTTCACACATGCCTGGAAAATAAACCAAAGACTAACAGGAACTCTCAGAATTATGATTTCTGAACTGCCTGTCTCATTGCAACCTAAGTGGTGTACGGTGATCTTTCTAGAGAATTTCAATGTTGACTTAGAAGGTCACACCTCATGTGAGGGAGAATATCCAGGAATAAAATGTAAAGAAAACTTCCCAGTAACAAATATGATCCTTTGACAAGAAAAATAGCTTCTTATACATAATCTCCATAACACAATTGATAGACTTAGACTCTGTAATTCTAAGAATAAATCATTTGGGTCCTCAATAGCATTTGCAGTGGACTTTCCTTTAAAGAACTCCAGTGAGCAAAGAAGCAGTTCAAGAAAAGGGATTCACCTGACCTATAATGCCCCCATATAGATTCAGTGTGTCAATGAAACTAGTCATGTTTAGATTTGAAAAGGGACCATCAGTAAGAATGGTTTGTATCACAAAATTTCCCACAATGACAACTCCCCCTCCCCCCTGCTACCCATAATTTCCCTTTGGAATACCACACACTTGCACATTCCAAGTTGCCAGGGTTTTAAGGTGAAAATTGATAACAGTTTGTTAAGATTCCAGTTCAGAATTTGGAAGGGTGTGGGTCCTCCCCTCCTTCCAAGAAGTCACTTTAAAATGTTGAGGATGCTGGCAGTGTGTCTGGGCCCACCTTCAGCAGTCTCTCCCAGGGGTCGGACTATAGAAAACAGAAGACAACAGCATTGGACTGGCGCCTGACTTGGCCCTGGAGAAACCTCACATGTGCCCACTCTGCTGGCAGGGCGGCTGTCTGGTGATTTGGAGCAAAGCTCTGATGGACACCACCCACAGCAACAGCACCTCCCTCTGTCCTCTTCCTGCTTTATGTGGTGTCACCCACCACATAAAGCAGGAAGGCCCCCTCCCACGACTACCCCTCTCCTCCCCTTCAGGCACTCTCCCCCCACCGCCCCTCCTTTACCTGTACTGATTCTCCTTGGACCTCTTCTCAGCTCGCTCTGGAACCCAGGAGTAGGTGTCTGTTGCACTCTGGGGCTTTTTCTCCCTTATCTCCTCTCTCCTTGCTCTTCGTTTGCGATAGACCAGTAGCCCCAGAGCCAGAGCCAGCAAAAGCAAGATGGCCACCACAGAGCCCAGGATGTAAAACAAAAGCAGCTTTTGCCCGTCAGTCCCTTCTTCGTCGCTGTGCTTTGCCACAACATCCCCACCGGTAGACTCCTCATGGCCAGTGACAGCTGTGGGGTAGTGGGTGTTGGGTTCCATCCAGAGGTCAGGGAGCTCAGTGGGGGTCAATGTCTCGGGTGCGGCTGAGGGGATATGTACTCTGGGTGGGAGGGAGAGTTCTGTTGTGCTAGGACTCACTTTGGAGGTGAGTTCAGGGCCCTTAGTGGAGCTGGACGCCGTGGCAGAAGGCACAGAGCTGCTGTTTCTTCCTCCCGTGTCCTGGGAAGGCCCTGCCTGTAGTCCTGGAGACACAGGGATCATTTTGCAGGAAAATCCATCAGAGGCCAGTTCCCAGCCTGGATGGCAGCCACAACGAAAAGACCCCTGCGTGTTGATGCACAGGCTGTCACACCTCTGTGTGGCCTCTGGGCTGGCACATTCGTCCACATCCACACACTGCTTGTGGTCTCCGCCCAGGACATAGCCCTTCTGGCAGGTGCAGAAGAATGAGCCCTCTGTGTTCACACAGCCCTGGATGCAGAGTGAGCTGTTGGTGGCACACTCATCAACATCCTCACAGGTGACCTGTTCAACATCAACCGGCTCATAGCCTATCCAGCAGTGACACTGGAAGCTCCCAAGCGTGTTGATGCACCCCTGGGAGCAGGAAGAACCACTCTTACATTCGTCCACATCAACGCAGTTCCGCTGACTAAAGTCCAGCTGGTAGCCTTCTGGACAGAGGCACATATAGTTTTTCCCATGAGGTTCAGGACGGCAGGTGGCTCCTCCTCGGCAGGGGTTGGAGCTGCAAGGGTTCCTTGAGGCACAAGTCACCAAGTCATCCAGCAGCCGGAATCCCGGCTTGCAGCCACAGCGGAAGGACCCGTCTCCCCCCTCAAAGCAGTCCTGTTGGCAGCCTCCATTGTTGAAATTGCATCCATACTTGGAGCTCACACACAAGGGACCTGAGTTTCCCCAGTGGAACACATCAGACTCTTTCTCCGTGCAAATGAAGTAACTCGGCACACTCCCGGAGTCCTCGTCTCCACAAACCACATTGGCAACGGAGGCGAAGGGCACGGCCTCCAGGCTGGAACTGGTGGTCTGGAAGGGGGTGGTGTAATTCACATGGCCTGGGCCCCCCAAAGTCAGGGGCCGGCACATGCCTTTGAAGCTGAATTTGCACACGAAGCCCTCGATGTTACTTCCCGGAGAGCCAGGGGAGCCACAGGGACCTTCAGACCACTTGGGAAGGCGGCTGGCCTGGGGTGGCAGGGAGAGGTCCAGCAGGAGGGACACGCAGCGCTTGGAGACGCAGGAGCTCTTCAGCTCCTTGTGCCAGTTGGCGTAGTCTGTGTGCGCCCCGCCGCCCAGCCAGCTGAAGCCCTTCAGCGGCAGGTCGGGGTCCAGGCACTTGCCCTTCTCGCGCTGGAGTCCGATCCAGAACTTGCCCATCCGCGTTTCCAGGACAGTCTCTGACCTCAGGAGCTGGCCCAGGGCCTGCTGGATGTGCCGCGCCTCCTCCTCATTCTTCACCGACGCCAGGTTGCCCCCGTTCTGGCTGCAGCGCTCCTGGGCCTGGGCTGCGGCCAGCCTGCCCCAGTGAGCCGTGTAGCAGGCAGCCTCTGCGCAGACCACCGCCTCCCGGTGGGCGCGGGCGCCCGCCCAGGCCTGGGCGAGCAGGAGCAGCAGCAGGCAGCCAGCCGCGGTGGCCATGGGGACCTCGAAATATCCCCGGGTGCGGCTGGAACTGAGGCGGCGACAGCGGCAACCCCGGCTGGGCTCCAAGGCAGGCGCGCGGAGGGTCCGGCTGCAGCGGCCCAGGCTCAGAGCAGGACGCAAGGGCTGCGGGCTTTTCAGTCCCCCTGACCCAAGGCGCATCCTGTGCTGTTGTACTTCTTATTGCTCACCGGATGCTGGGGCTTCCTGCAGTGAATAGTTTTCTGACTCCTGTTGCCTTCATCACGGTTTTGTTGTTCCTGAGAGGGGCCAGGCAGCTTCACCCGGTTCCTGGCCAAGCACTGGGCAAACAGCGTTTCTGAGGGCTCAGGGACACCGTCCGCTTTGTTTTGGCTCCATTCTCTTTTCCATCCGCATGAGGAAGCTAAATGGTATGTTATGGAGTGAGTAGAGGCTTTCAGAGATGAGGAAGTTGAAAAAACTCACTTAGTAACCCATATGAAAATTCCATGTTGCATTGCAAACAACCAGAAGAGAAAAATTTATTCTCAGGCTTGAGACACAAGCCTGAGATGGTTACAATTACAAACTTCAGTCTTTTTTAGCAGTAAACTCGTTTTTTTGTTTTGCTATCTCATGTTACCATTGGCTTTTGGAATCTTTTTCTTTTATTCTCCCCATCATGAACTTTAAATAGATAGACAGTTTTAAATAGGAATGGGGTCATGGGAATGTCTGCATTTCCAACACAATGCCAAGTTCCTCAAGAATGTTAAACCAAATGGGGTGAAACTTGGCAGCTTTCAGTTTCATACTTCATGTGCTCGGTTGTGATATGGAGTGTCACGAAAAGTAGCAGAAAGGAAAAGAATGACAGTTTTCCGTTCTCCTAGCTTGGGTTTGTAAACTTGCATCCCCAGTGCAGTTAGGAAAAGCCCTGGAACTGTGAGTCTGCCGTCAGAATCCAGAGAGTAGCAGCCCCTGCACAGCCATCGCCAAAGACCGGAAACCAGAGGGCTCTTTTCCTGTAATCGCACACTTGCTTTGCTCATTGGGGTTATCACTGACTGGGATCTCCCAGAAGTAGGTCTCCAGACAGAACTTGAGTCAGTTTATCTGGGACAGAAGCAAGAAAAGAATAACATGGGGTGATGGGATGAAAGGTGATCCTGAAACGCCATCCTTTGGGACACAAGTTGGGGGGTCACGCATGTCTTTATAGCTGCCAGAAAGTGTGCTGAGCAGTTCTCTCCTTCTGTTCCCCTCCTCTCTGTGGCAGCAACTCCTGGCCCAGTACACCAGAGAGGATGACCAGGGGAGAATCACACAGAACAGTCACGAAGCTATGAGCATATTCACCAACAACTGCTGCATTGTTCCTCTCAGATATCTGAGTTAGGATATCACTGAGATTAATTTACTGGATTTTAGCTTCCACAATGGATAAGATGCCCATCTCATGCTTCAGTGGGAGATGATATTGAACAGATATTCCTATTTTTCCAGAAAAATATTACACAACACCCTCCCTCCTCAAGTTCTCTATATTCCGCAATTCCTGGAAATCTGTGTTCTTTAAGAAAAAAACAGAAAGCACCCTCCATTGCATTCAAGATTACTATCCCTTCCCTGGATCATTCAGGAGCCACCTTCCCCCTACACACAGCAAGGGATAGTATTGCCTATGTTGGGACAGATGACCTTAGTGTTTTTACCTTATGTCATTTTTAAGTAATAATAATATTATTTCAAGGTTATTCAAGATGGTACAGGAATTCTTTCATAACCTAAAGTATCTTCCCCATGCTCTTTGGTGCCTGTGGATCCTCATCCATCATCCATTCATTTATCTGTCTATTCATCCAACTACCCATCTATTATTCACCTATGTATCTGTCCATCTCTTCACATATTTATTCACTTGTCCCCCCATTCACTCATTCCTAGATTTATCTATTCATCCATTAGTTCATCTATGCATTTACCTATGCATTCATCTAAGTACACAATGTATCCATCCATACATCTACATATCCATTCATCAATTTTGTCTTAATTACATCTCTAGTCTGGTGGATTAGGTATTGGAATTCTAAAAATAACTTATTTATTTATTTTGGTTTTGGGGTCACACCTGGCTCTGTGCTTAGGAATTATTCATGGCAGTGCACAGGGGACAAAATGGAATGCCAGGGATCGAACCCTGGTTGGCTAATGCAACGCAGACACCCCACCTGCTGTATTGTTGCCCTGGCCCATTTAGCAACATTTTGGCAGACTCTGTCTACTAGGTGCCAGTAGCACCCCTCACCCAAATTGTTACAATCTAGAATATCCCATCCCATTACCCCAGTGATCCTCAGACAAAAATACCTGTCCATCCCCTGAGAATACTATAGGTCCTCGTTCCATCTGATGCAGTCATGCAATGGTTCAAAGAATCTGTGTAGAGTGAAATGACAGTTATTTAACTAGAGATTCACCGTGAAGCCAGTAGAGTATTCTAATTTTGGCTATGTCTTTATTCCACTTGTGCAGGAAGAGATTTTATATATCTTAACCTTTTAGTCATTTAGTTATATTTGAATTCCAATGTCCAGTTTTTCTGTTTTGTCTTTATGATCTCAATACTAGTGTCATCCTTTTAGAAGTGACATTGTTCTTCCTTTCCTTCCAAGACCTTGGGAAGAGAGGACTGGTGTGCCGACTAACAGGGAGGAATAAAAGAAGTTAAAAATAAAGTGGTCAGAGTTAAACATGTTAAACAGTTGCAACTATGGCAAGTACCATTGGGAAAAGATGCAGGTGTCTGGAGAGGTTCTAACATACTTGAGGGATGAATCTCTGGGGAGAACAGCAATGAGGTCAGGAATCTAAAGAGCGATACTGTACAACTCAGATGAAATGTTCGAGATCCTTCAGTGGAAATGTTCTGACCTTCATAAGGTTCTGACCTTGTTAAAGGATAGGGAGACTAGAGTTCAAATAATTAAAAACTGAATAGGCAATGTAGAATTGTGAGAACCTGAACAATGCATATTTGAGATTTTGCTCTAAAATCCAAATGAAATACATTGTAGCCACCATGTTAAGACCTGTGAGTAATAGTGTCCCTCCTATGTGAGAGTGAACCGATTAACCTCAGCACACTAGCACAATTTTCAAGCACAGATGACAGAAGCTTGGATCTACTAAGAGCTCTGATTAGGGAAAACAGACTCAGGAAATGAGGGTCCAGAGCAGGCAATTTCTGGTATAGGAGTGGGGAGTGAGGGCTGAGGCATGCAAGACCCCATGCTTTCCTGCTCATGCTGTTGATGGACACAGGTCCTGAAAAACTGTCCACTGGAGATAGAGAATAGGACCTCGACAAAAAATAATCACTGAATGCGTGGCGGGGCGGGGGCTGGGGGGCTGGGAGTGGAGGGGAAGGGGGGCTCTTAATATTGAGGATATCCTAGATTTTTTTTATTGTGAAATACTTCCTCAGGATTCTAAATTTGTCCCATGAACTAGGGAGGTAGCTAGGTTCAAGGAGACCAGAGAAGGCTGGTGACCTCAAATCCAGGTCAGAGTGAGCCTCTGCCTTGTAGTAAGACTTAATTTCTAAATGCCTAGTTTTAAGTAGGTGACTTTTTGACATGGGCCTGAGGAGTGAATGCAGTCTGACTTGTGCTCTTTCTCCAGACTTAAGACATCCATGTGTGCAATCAGGGTTAGATTTCTGTTAACTTTGGTGCTCCTGTGGGACATACCAGAGTGCTGCTTGACTGAGGCTTCAGGTGACAGGCTGGTAGTCGCTCTCCCACAGTTATTCTTACCTGAAAGGTCAGGTGCAAACTCATACATCAATGGCATCTAAAAGAAGAAAGTTCACTGGCAAGGTTGTACACTCATTTACCCATCCTTTAACCCAGAAAGTATTATAGGATTCACCCAGTCCTGGCTGGTACGTTTTATGCCATTGTCTCCAGTAACTGGCTGACTTCATCTGTTCTCTCAGCCCTCATTTCTGTATAGGGAGATGGAAATGGAGCCTCCAAACCCTTCCTTGCTCCAGTGTCAAATTCAAACCTTACATCTCCTTGTCTTCTTTGGAACTGTGAACAGGTTGAATCCATAGCTAAACCTTTACTAAATGGCACATTTGCCTAAACCTCTCAAGTGGATTTTTGCCCTTACTGAGTGAGGAAACACAATGAAAATTTGACTCTGGTTTTGCCCCTGTGATCCCCACATCTTCTGACATTCACTTTGTCTCTTGATCTTCAGCTGAAGACTACTGGATTTGGCTCACCAGAGACTCAGGATCAGTACTCTTCACCCACAGAGGAGGTGTGTGGGTGGGGTTGGGGGAGCAGCTTGAGCCCCAAGTCTGGGAAACAGGGAAAGAAAGAGAGTGTACCCTTGCTGAATGCTGTCTGGCTGAATTACATGAAGAATTTAGGATTCTAAATTATATGCCCACTTAGAGAAAGTTTTGAACCTCCCTTGCTAATTTCCCCATGGGTGGTGATTCATCATATTTATTTAAAGCACAGATTATATCAAACCTCTCAGAGGACAGACTGTAAAGAAAACAGGAATCTGTAGCTTGGAGACGAAGTTTCCTTGGCTTATCTCTGGGTGGAAAGCTTTTTGAGTTTTAGAATTTTTGGAGGCCTGGGCTGTACCTTGAGCTGTGGTTATAAACTATTGTTTTGTTCTGGGGTCTCTCAGTGAGTATCCCAGCTTTAGTTTTTAAAATTATTTTTAAATGTAACTTTCAAAAGTTCAAAGTTACTATGCTGCGAAGGAGCTTTTCTGGCCTCATAATTAGATAACCTCTCAATTACTCTGAAGCAGAGCATGTGGTTTGTGGATCATTTAGGCACCGGACCTTTTTTTTTTTTTCATTTCTTTTGGAGGGTGTCGGGTTGAGGGGTGTTCGGCCATACCCAGGAATGTTTGGGACTAGCTCCCGGTTCTGCCCTTAAAGATTATTCTAGGGGATCATAGATCATATGGATATAGGGAATCCAACCCCAGTTGACCTTATTCACAAAAAGC